TTGTCCACGGGTCACGAAAGACTCCTCCTCCTCCTCCTCCTCCTCCTCCTCCTCCTCCTCCTCCTCCTCCTCCTCCTCCTCCTCCTCCTCCTCCTCCTCCTTCACTCGGTCGTTTCCCTTGCTTCTCACCTCCTCTCTTGGCAGGCAGCTCTCAACTTGAGTCAGAGCCTCAAGACTTTGGTGTCCAACATGCCCTGCAAGGTAACGCAGGGACAAGACGCTCTGCCTCCTCGCGCGGTGCCTGAAGCTGTTATGCGCCTGCTCAGGTGAGGAATGCGAGGGGAGGGAGGGGAGGACAGAGAGGCGGGGGAGGAGGAGGCAGAGAGGAGAGGGGAGGGGTGAGAGCACGAGACGAAGAGAGATGGGAGATCGTCCTTCCTTCACGCGGATTGCAGGGCGAGGGGCGAGCGAGCTGGGCCGAGCAGCGGCAAGAAGAAGAAAGGAGAGACACCGATGAAAGGATCAGCAAAGAAGGTGAAGAAGTAGAGGAGGAGAAGTAGAGGAGGAGAAGTATTGTACCATTAGTAAACATCCTAATCATTGAAATCACAGTCCTGCCCCTCCTCTCCATTGTGCGACCTCGACCATCGGCTTTCAATTCATTTCATTCACTTGAAATTTTCTGTACATCCTGCTTCTGCTCCTCCTCGCAGTTACGACCCGTACATGTAGTAGACAAGCAACAGGACAATCAAGAGATTCGCCAGCACAAGTCCTGCTGTCACCAGCTCCTCTCCCCGCAGCAGCAGCTTGTCATTCCAGTAGAGCTCGACCCCGGGATGCAACGACGAGCTTGACGGCTGCGGCCCTGCAGAAGACTGTCTCCTCAGTGTGAGGGGGTACCTGCCGACCTTGAGCACGGCTTCTCCTGGAGGGTCTTGCGCGTTCTTGTCCTGCTCAGCGGGAGCTAGGAGGGAGGTAGGAAGGGACGAGATGTCAGCCAGCCCGAGCGCCGCGTCCTCTCTCGCTTCCGGCGAGCTGCTGCCGCTGCTCGTCGACCTGTTGGAGTTGCTGCCATGGGGGGTGGCGGGAGACTCCTGACTGAGGGGGCAAGAGGAGGCCGAACGATGCCGGCACGAGACATCCGCTGGGGCTGAGATGGCCTTGACCAGCTGCGGGTTGTCCTCCTCCTCCTTGCCGCAGGTGTCCCTCCTGCACTCGACGCCGGGTCGCTGCAAGAAGCTCTTGGACTGGCAGGTCTCGTGCACCACGTTGATCACCCGGCCGTTCCAGGTCGCGAGCACGAGCTGCACGCCCCTGGCGTCGAGCTCCTTCTCGATCCCCTCCATGTCCTCGTGGCAGCCGAAGGCTACGATAGTTGCAGACTGTGGAAGAGTCAGCGATACCAGCTGGGCAGGAGCTGGGCGTCACCTGGGACCGGCTTGATCTGGAGATGTCGAGGAGGGCGAGCAGCGCGTCCATGCGGAAATCTCCGACGGACTTCTTGGTCTCTGAGGGTCAAGTCAGCCAGTCGAGTCATCCACAGGAGAGGCTCACGGTAGTCGAGCTGACCGCTGAGCGACTTCTCGCAATCGCAGATGAAGTAATCCAGAGACCCGTACTTCTCCGAGAACTGCGAGGAAGGAGCAAGGGGAGAGGATGAGAACTTTCAGCATCGTACTGGAGGGGAGGTGGTCACGTTACCTCGGCAACGAAATCGCACGCGAGCGCAGGAGTGAGTTCGGATGGGAGGGGCTGCTTTGCCGCACTCCAGAGGACGATGACTGAGGACCTCTGAGAGCATCTCTGCTATTCTTATGAGCTACCATCCTCCTCCTCCTCCCTCCTCCTCCTCTCACCAGGTCACGTTGGCATCCAAGAAGGCAGTTGGTGTCCCACACGGAGCTACATCCCGAGGACGTGGAGCGCGCATCGTCTGCATGGGGAGTGAGGGGAGGAAAAGAGCATGAGGGAGAAGACGGTCTACCTAGGTCATGCAGCATCTTGGAACTGCAGCTGAACTGTGGGTATGAGGTGAGCAGGAGACTTAGCTGGGAGGGTCATTTACCCTCTCGGAAGTGATGGAGTCCTTGTCCTGCCATGAGCATGTCAAACATAAGAAAGATCTCCCACATGCGCAGACTCACGTCGGCGAGAGCGATGGTAACGCTCTCCTTCCATGATCGCTTCTCCTGCAGCACCAACATCAGCTGGTGCAAGAGCAGGTGGACGAGATGGGACCTCAACACTGCAGGAGCGGAAGACAAGCTTCTCCCCCTCACTTGTAACTACTATGAACTCATTGCTGGGGGATGACTCAGATAGATGCTTGTCTGGCTCAGCCAAACGCCTGCACCTCACGCTGCCGTCTTGCACTCCACGCACTTCGAAGATCTTTGATTTGGTTCCTTGCGATTGCTCTCTGCAAACTTGTGAGAAGCAAGAAATGAAGATGAAACAGATCAACATGCAAGCAAGAGGAAGAAATGAGGCCAGGTAGCAAGGGAAAGTAACAGACAACAGAGAGACAGGGCAGCGACCAAGACAAGAAGGGTCCAAGATGGAACAAGGTTTCAGTCAGCATCCCGAGACAGGGGCTTACTTGTGAGCAATCATCATGAAGGGTCCTCGAAGAACCACGTAGCGATCATGCCATCTGTCGTGCCCCCTCGAAGCTCTTTTCTTCAGCCCCCCTGAAAAATCTCTCACACAAGAGTAGAACAGAAAGGAGCAGGAGGCGACAACGATCGAGAAAGAAACAGGTCGAGGGGTACAATGAAGATCGTTCGGAAGTCATGTTCACCTTCTTCAAGATCTTCTTGTTCTGGGCTGTAACCAAGAAGCGGGTAAGAATTCATCGTCATCGCATCAAGAGAACACGCATACATGGGTCTGTGAGGAAGGTCGCATAACTGAACTCAGTTTCCCCTCCTCTCTGCATAGGAAAAGTCAGAGAGGCAGTAAGAGATCCAAACAAGAATGACACAAGCACGAAAATCTCTCTTGTCCAGACAAGATGAGCACTTCACGCCCTCCATTCCCTCCATGAGGCTCAATTCACCTTGTGTCCTTTCACTGTCAGCAGCGTTCCAAAGTAACTCTGCATCCCTCCACCGAAGCCAGATGAAGTAGATATCACCATCCGCTAATAGATTGTCCACAAGCTCATAAAAATGTCTTCAGAAACTTTGTCGTTGGAAGTGCAAAGGTTGAAACCAATCTACATCCAACTCAAACGTCAATCTTCCGCCGTGCACTTTGAGCCCCCAACCCCCTTTACACTCGCCTTCTCGCTGCCGACATCTTAGCTCAACAAACATCGAGCTAAAATCCTTGGCTACCCTTAAATTTCTTGATTTGTCAACTTCATCATACCTCTCTCCCTCACTACAGCTGTAGGATCAATGGCAAACACCCTAGAACGCATCTTGCTTTCTACCATCACGTCTGCCAACTCTCCTCGTTGTCTACTTCCATACAAGAGTTCTTCTCACCATTCTCATCCTCATGATCCTTCTCCTTCTTCCTTCTTCCTTCTTCCTTCTTCCTTCTCTCCCGGCATTCCCGCTGCTTCCGCTCCTGGAGCGCGTCCTGTCCCTGATTTGCTCCTCCTATCATTCTGACTACTGGTCTGGACTACCCACCTGTCGATCCCCAATCTCCTATCACCCCCACCCCATCCCCCCAACAGGCTCCTAGAGACACCCCTACCCCCCTCAATCACGGACCCCTGGATACCTCAATCGTCCTTTCTACTTTCCAAACCCCCTACCAGATTTCACTGACCCCACCCCACCGATTCGTTTGCCCCTACCTCTTGGACTACACCTGTATCCAAGAGTACCCCCTACCCTCTTTCCTACATGAAATTGCTCTGAAAAACCCACAGCGCCTGTGCAAGAACGGACCCACTACCCCTTCATCAACTTACCCGTATTACCACTACCCCCTTGTTTCATTCCACCCATGGTTTTGACAGTTTTGCGTTCACCCCACCCAAAATTGAACCTAATCCTTCACCCCTACCCCCAAATGACATTGAACTTACCTCTACCCTTGGTCGAAGGTATAGATATGTCCATTATTCCCTAATGTGGAATATAGTAATTTCCTTTCTCATACCCTACCTGCAAACCCATAGTAACCCCTACCCACTATATTTAGTCTTCATTGCCCGTTGGTTAGGGTATGGTACTACCCCACCTACCCCACCTACTCCGACAAACCTGCTGATCCATGCCACCCTGCTTACTAATAAGCTGACTACCCTACCCCTCAGGTCTCTTGTCCTTCCATCCATGACGCCCTCCTCCATTTTCGTAGTCCCGACCACCCCCGGATAGGTCGATACCCCACCCTTCCAGACCCAGGGAATCATGGGCCCGGACCCGGTAGGTATGAGGTTCCACCCCTTCCGTTTGTGCAACTGGCTTTGGCATTTTACTACCCATCCTTATCCAGTCGCGATCTTTTGTACCATTGTAGGAGCACCCCCGTTACGTCACTTTAAAATACCCCACCCCCTTGCGTCTTATTTCCTTTCTTACAACTCGTAGAGTACCCGTCCATTCCTGGTATCCATGTCCACAGACATAGGGGTAGTGGCTTGGTCAGGTAGGGGTGGACGCTGGGAGGTCGGCGGAGATGCGGCTTACCGGGCGCCTCACTTTACCCCAACCCCTCTCTCGAAGTTACTGACCACCCCTACCGCATATAAATCCTCAAAATCCCTGGAAAAATACCGGTACTTACAGACTTTTTGTTTCGTTTATCGATGCCTACCCCACCCCTACCCACCATTGACGTCGCCAGCCTGGCAGGGGGCCGAATTCGAGACTGTTTCCCAATTGAGGGGTAGGGTGTGAGGACCAAAGAATGGGTAGGGGTGCTTATTTCTGTACTGATGTCATTGGGCGGTTGACGAGTCAGTGAAGGTAGGGTACGTGGTCAGGTGGGTGGGGTAATTACTTTGACTATATTTGAGGAAAAAAGATATAGTCAATTTAAAATTGACCACTAATGCACGAAGTCACGTTATCACCCCACCCTCAAATAATATACCATAATATAGTACCCTACCCTCTACTTTGATACGATCCTCGTATCAATTAACAAACGCCTACCCCCCATCCCTCTACCCTACCCTTTCCCGCATCCCCCTTCTCGGTGCTCCGGAAGTATTTTACGGTCGCGAAAACGCTTCTTTTCAAGCTCTCAAGTCTCGCAGATCAAGTGAGGTCACCTAACTGTGACTTTCCCAGCCCGGCATGACCCGGGCCCCGGGCCTCGGGGCCCGGGTCATGCCGGAGGACCGTCACTCAAATATTTGACTTGTGCCTGCGTTTACTCCCCAAGCACATGGGTGGGTTTTTGTTACGCTTACTACCGGTACTCAGAGCTGTAAATAATGGGGTCCAATACAACCCCTACCCTTTGCCATGCCTGGTCATTCTCCCCGACAGATTCCCCCACGTACAAACTGTCACGAGGACGAGTGGGGACAAGAGGAGGAGAAGGGGAGGAGGAGAGGAGGAGAGGAGGAGAGGAGGAGAGGAGGAGAGGAGGAGAGGAGAAGAGGAGGAGAGGAGGAGAGGAGGAGAGGAGGAGAGGAGGAGAGGAGGAGAGGAGGAGAGGAGAAGAGGGGGAGGGGAGGAGTAGGGGAGGGGAGTAGGGGAGGAAGTGTGAGATAGGAGAAGGAGGAGTGATATATGCATCATTTGTGGAAGAGGACCATAATTCGGATCAGTACCACCGCTAAAACCAGTCCATGCATGGAGAGGAAGGAAACCTGATGAGAATGGCCTTACTTATGTTGCTTCAACTTCTTTTCATCTGATTCTCTTGTTTCAGATCTATTCGGCTGCTGCAACTGTTCGTATCATCAAACATCTTCTCTCCATCCTCTTACTCTTCCTCTATCATGAACTCTTGCTTCCCGTTCCTCGTCAGCAAGCAGGCCGTCGGGGTCAACGAGGAGCGCAGAAAGCGTCTGGACATGCTGAAGCAAGCGGAGGAGGTGAAGGAAAGACGCAAGGGGAGTCACAATAGCAGGGGCAGGAATCTTGCGAAGGCAGACGACCGAGACGAGGTTCTCAAGACGATCGTTCTGCAGGGACGTGGAAGCCATGGCCTGTTGAGGGAGGAGAGCAGGAGCATCGACAGCGACGTCGTCACCATGCCATCCCTGGATGAGCAGAGCAGACAAAAGAAGCCCGAGGAGGAGGAGGAGGAGGAGGAGGAGCAGCAGCAAACGATGCAGGAGACACGACGAGAAGGGATCAGGTGGAGGGGAAGGGGAAGTGGAAGGAAGGTGCTAGCCAGGGAGCAGAACTACTACTCCTACTTCGATCACAGCCGGAGGAGGCTCGCAAGCAGGTAGAGGAGGGAGAGGAGGTAGAGGAGGTAGGAGAATCAGAAAGTTTGCGAGGTTGGAACATTTCCTTGCTGAGGGCATCAGACCATAAAAGTTGTTTCAGGTGTGACTGACTGCAACTTCATTTCTTGTCCATGAGACCGTTGCAAACAAGGAAGGCGTCTGGGAGGTCGAAGTCACATGAAGTGATTGAGAGAAAGAGAGGAAGAGGAGGAGGAGGAGGAGGAGAGGGGGGGAGGAGGGAAAGGAACGGAGCGGGAAGGGAGGAGGCGGGAGAATGAAACAGAGCAGACAGGAGCTT